TCATCACCCTCATCATGTAAGGCTGTGTCATCCCTAGACTCATCCGCATTGTTGTCATAATCACTATCATCTTCCTAACTCTGCGCATCTGCCAAATCACGAGTAAATACGTCGTCTATGGGCAACTGTGTGAGGTTAGGAGCTTCAAGAATCTCGTTTTCACTTCACAAAAATAACAAAATGATAATATACCCAACTAGATAAATACTTTAGATATAGCTATATCACTTTACTTACAAGTCGTACTGTCTTGACGTTTCATGATGGATGTTTGCTTGTTGGTGATGACTCCCGGATGGACCACCGTGATCCAATACTCCAGAACTACACATATTCCAACTAGGGGCGGGGTCATAACTTGTAAAGTTCGTATCCGGACGGTACCCCCTATGAAAAATATGAGTGCTAATACAAATCCAATTAAAACATAAAATAAACATAGCTAAAGCACCCACGGAATTGAAGTTTACCAGTCGTCTTGTTGATTATATAAAGTCGAAAAATTATTTTGCGGCTGCTCATTTGCTGGTGGTGACAAGTTTAAATCAAGGCAAGCTCTTTCATCAACAATCTGTCCGGCAAAAACTGCTCCAGAATAACCACCCGATGACTGGGGGTTATCCCTACTATGCACGCCCTCATTATTGGGAACGTCTTCTACCTTGACGTACATTTCCAATAATTTTATTACAATAAATTCCATGTATTCATCTGGAATCCGCAAAAAATCTCTAAGAGTTTCATTATCCTCGATGTTAAACTCAGAATAATAAGCAAACCCCTGCGGAGTCACTGAATACGAAAATCTACCGGTTATTTTAAGGTTAATCGAACGCCACCTCTTATTCATTTTTTTTATGTAACAACGATATCAATTTATCATACTCCAGAGTAAGCGGCAATTTAACATGACATTGTGGAGGTGAGCTATACCTCACAGAGTTATTCTCCAACACAACCTCACCCCCCAATATAGTGAAACCCTTATTTTTGCCACTTCAGACATTGTAAAAAAATGATTGATAAGAAGAAGAGAGAAGTATGAACGTAAGTTTGAAGATTGAATGAATTTTCATAAAATTGAAACGCCTTTAAATAAGGCAAGTCCGAATGTAAAACGCAGTACAATAATACGTTTTATGTATTAAATTATTGTTATGTCAGTTCATTATTGGTGGGGCCAAACACCAGAGTAAAACGCAGTATAATAATGCGTTTAAGTAAAACGCAGTATTATACTGTGTTTTACAAATTTAATTAGTAAAACGCAGTGTAGTACTGCAAATTACAAAAAAAAATTTAAAGTAAAACGCAGTATAGTACTGCGAATTACAATTTTTTTTAAAGTAAAACGCAGTATGGTACTGCTTTTTACTTTAACGGCTAAATTTTCGTTAAAGTAGTTCGCAGTATAGTACTGCGTTTTACTCATTCATGTAACTTTTTTTTAAGTAGTAGAAAAGTATTTTTTGTTCAAAAAATCATCAAAAAAGTTTCGGACTCTATTATTGTGGTGTACTTCGTCCTTGTGCATTTGTACTATACTCCCATTCACATGCTACCTATTTTACTTTTCACCTTCTGCGGAGCCGAGGGTCTATCGGAAATAATATTTCTATCCCATAAAAGTAGGTATAAGGTGTGTGTATACCTTACCTTTTCCAGACTGCACTTGTAATATCATACTTGATATGTTGTTGATGTTATTAGTTTGATTCTATAGTTAAATAAAAGGAATCTTACATAAATGTCCCAATAAGTTTTAACTTACCGACCTCTAACCATTAATTAATCATAAACTTACTAAAACTAGCCAAGCACATATAAAAATTGAAAACCCAAATAAATATGGTTCTTTCTCTCCAAGAATCACACGCAAAAGATCTCCTTTCATATTTTTAAGTGTGATCAACAATATTAAATGCAATACGAAAAGAAAATTTTATAGATGAGGTAGCAAACAAGGTGATGAAATACAACATATATATATATATATATATATAAGATTCCAAAAATCTAAGAAAAAAATAACTTTTTTCAATGGGTACGGTTGAAATTCATTGAAACACATATAAATGAGTCAATATACAAATTTTGAGGAAGATTGGAGGTAATTTGAACTGATTTGGTATTAAAATTCGTAGTTAAAATCGAGTTCAAAAAATTCATTTGCGACACATGTATCAAACATGTATCGTACATGGATATACATGTGATACACATTTGATATAAATATGATACATATGTGATACACATTGTAATATTTTTTTTTCATATTTCATCTTCTACTTCGACTTTTCAATTCAAACCATCTCAAAACTCCGTCAAATCATTCCAAAACTGAGATTCAAACTCCTTAAGATATACTCAATCTATTCTAATAACACTCACTTAAAAGAAAACAAAAAAATGACCTTTTTTTTTGCTATAAATAGCTAATTGGCTAATATTAGTAATAATTATTAAATTTTCCAATTTTTGTAATGAGCTACTTATGAATGGACATAGCTGATAATTTTTCTTAAATAAATTATAATATAGCATATAATGAAATAAATAAAAAAATAATTTTAAGTTGGACGTATTGAGCCATGACTCATTGTTTAGTTCAAACTGACCTCTCCATGCACATGGAATTATGACACAGTTTGTTTGGGTCAACCCTTCTAAGTCCAACCAAATGTAACATAGTCGCCCATATTTAAAGCTGAAATAAACAAAAGCAAGCTAAGGGAGCTAAAATCAAATTGACCTTGGAAAAATCCCTTGATTAGTGAGTCAAAATTCAAAAAGTCAACCCAAACTCGATACAGTTAATTTTCCTGAGAAGGTGGAAGTAATTGGGTCGATTGGGACATTATTAGTTCGCCCAAAAAGTTTGGTCCAAGAAAATGAAATATTTTAAGACAAAAAGATCTTGGAATAAGAAAAACATGGAGGTATTTCACCAGAAATCTGAGTTTTTAAAAGTATATGGTTTGGTCAATTGACTTGTATTTATCGGATTGAGGACAGAAATAGTCAAGTTAATAGTTTATTATTTAAACTCTGGGGAATGCAATGAGAAGAAAAATTAATTTAACATATCAAAAAGTCAGCCTTCCTCAAGAAAAAAATACCTAAGGAAGAAAAAAAGAATAAGTTTCTCAATATATTAAACAAGTCGTTGGACGGTGAACCACATGCATGCATGAAAAATTAACGCAGAAAAAGATGCCCCAATCACAATATTTTGCATTCGTCGATTTAAAATTTTGAATCTATAATCTTTACAAAAGAATTATGACTGGCAAGACATGACGACCTATGAGAGAGTGAACAACCAATGGCTTGAAGAATCTAAGTTTTTTTTCTTTTTACATTTTGTATTTACTTACTTAAAATTCTGAATTCGTATTTATAAAATGTACTATAGTATTCGTACTCCTTCAAGAACTTCTTGTCATGCGTGATGTGGATCCATTGGTAGTCTTTAACTATGCTACAATGTGTTCGTGCCTTGAAGAATTAGAATTTTCTTCTTGTTTTTGTTCATTGGTTTTTTGCTTTTTTGCCAGCTCATGATCTAAACGAGTCATACATATACATTCTATAGATATTCCTGATTGCTGTCTTTGAAATTGCTCGATACACAAAGGGAGAAATTAAAAAATAGTCAGATTTACAAATGATAATCAAAAGATAACCACAATTTCAAAAGTAATTGAATTTTAGCCACTTTTCATGTAAAGATAAATCTGAACGAAAATAGTGTTCAAAATCCGGAAAATACTCTAGCATTATATATNAACATTATCCAATTTGGGTGTGGGATCTCTCTCCATATCTTCTGCCTTTTTGTTACTTCCAAATTTCAATGCCAATTTTTTAGAAGGGTAGGATTATCGAATAGTCATAGCCAATATCCATGTGGATCAAATTGCAATTTCTGTGAACCACTTTTTGACTTTAATTTGTTCATTATAGAAACGCGTAAGCTTTTAGAGAGAGAGAATTAATTTTTTGTACTATTAATTAAAATTTATGCTTTGATTCAGAACGTGAATCAAAATGTTCAAAATTTTGAGAAAGATAGAAAGGAGAAACGCCAAAAGATAGTGTATATATTACAAATATGTATAGAAAGCCAACTTCCATAGACTATAAGAAATTTTGATACCATTAGTGTATTTTAATAAGTTATATTATTTACTATATGATCTTGTTGTATTTCTCTTGTAATTAATGGACCTTTTAGACCACGGTTTATAGAATATTCTTTTTAAACAAACTGAAAATCTCATGAGAAAGCGTTAGATCACGACCTAAATTTTGTAAGTTATTGAAAATATTAAATCACATTCTAATGCTTTATGAGAAAATATTAGACCCATGTCCTATGTTATCCTGAAGGAGTAAAACTTGAAGGACTATATTTGCACAATATTTAAAAGAAGAATTAACCCTAATAGCCGTCCTTCCAATCACTTAAATTAAAAATAGTCGATGAAGGTATAATATATATATATATATATATATAATTATATATAATCAATATATAATTTATGTATATGGGTAAAAAAAATAATGAATATGACCGGCAATTTGTCTAAAATACCTGTGACAAAATCTAAAGAGTGTCCTAAAAAGGGGACATTTGCGTAAATGTGCCATAAGTTAAGCTAGTTTGATGCACTTTATCCATGTAAACTATGGGCCTAACTCTTGATTGATCTTCTCGTCAGCCCAGCCCAATACTTCCACCGTTTCACAAATTGTCCAAACATTTGGCGCGAAAATCGATATCAGCAAAATTCGGTGTCCGCGTCCAGTCCCGGCATAACTATTCCGATAGCTCGAAACCAATTCCGCCGGCGGGTTATTCAACGGTATCGATCGGAATGGCTAGCCGACGAGCTTCAAAACGCAAGCGTACAGAACAGAAGGAAGAAGCAGAAGAGTCAAAAAAGCAACAAGTAAAAAAAGAAGTAGAAGTGAATGAAAGCTCAAAAAAGTCACCAGTAGTGGTATTTGCTCATGGTGCTGGTGCTCCTTCCACTTCTGATTGGATGATCAGGTCATCTCTCTTATGTACTGACAGTGTAATGAATTTGTATACTACGGTGTAACTTAAACCTGTTATAGCTGGTTACTTATCTTCTATCATAGGTTATCAATAAATGCTTATTAGATAAAGTTATATATAATTACCTTTTGATTTTAAGTTTTATACACCATCAGTGTAAGGAATATTTACATTATGAGGTCACTTTTACTGGTTGTTTTAGTAGGTAACCTGTCTTATTTTCAAGATTACAAATCCACATTTTAAGGAGGCTTACCTGTTTTCGATGACCTGTATATAACTTAAATTCTTACATTGTAAAGTTATCTGATTGTGTAAATATTTTTTATACCATGAGTGCATAGAACTTAAACTCAATTTTTATGAAAAAGAGTAAAATGACTTTTCTCACTTATGGAGGGCAGTCAACTTTGTCTTACAATATATACAGATTTTACTCTATATCATTTGCTTCAATCAACATATTGACATTGTTGTAAACGACTTCTTAAAATCAGAGTTTAGCTGCATGCTTTATAAGTAGCATAAAGTTTCTGTACTAACTTATCCAAGCTTTGTGAAGATGGAAGGAGATGTTGAGCAAGGAACTGAATGCTGCTGAAGTTGTGACCTTTGACTACCCATGTAAGATTTATGTTTCACTCGACGTATTATCCAATATCCACAAACATTTATAGTACATATTTTCTTGCTGAAATTTTATGGACTCTGGCAGATATGTCTGGTGGAAAGAGGAGGGCTCCCCCCAAGGCAGAAAAATTGGTTGATTTTCACTCCGATATTGTCAAAGAGGTGTCTGCTAAATATCCTGGGCATCCGCTGATCTTGGCAGGGAAGTCAATGGGTTCAAGGTGATAGTCGTTGCTCATGTTTAGAACACTGTGTATACAATTTGGAACTTTCTCCTGTCTTATTTAAAATCAGTTGATGTCATCTACTAGACAACCTAATTTTAACCTTTGTGAATAAGAAAGGGGTAATTCATGTTGAGTTGAGTTTCTAGCACAGATTAATTTATCAGGGTGTTAGTCAGAAAGGATGTCCGGGTCCATACATTCTAGACCTCTTTCAATAGATGAGCTTCAGGATGTGTCCATTCTAATCTCCGTAGCATTGTAACAATTAACTTATGTGTAGATATCTTATATTACCTTTGCTCAAATTTGGTTTGCTGGATGCTCTACTACTTCCCAATTGCAGTGTTTGAATTGTTTCTTTCTAAGAGATTATGACGAAAGGTACTTAGAACTTTGTTGTGTTTCACATAGCCATGTTTATATGGGTGCATTGCCTGATCTTATGTATTTATCGCCTTGTTGCACCGGATAATTGATGAAGTGCAGGGTAATGCAATTAATTCCATATTAACACATGCGGCGAATATCCTCCTTTGTGTAGGGTTAGCTGCATGATAGCTGCTAACGGCGTCGGTGCTTCAGCTATCGTTTGCTTGGGCTACCCATTAAAGGTTATCTGTTATCCAGATAGTGCTCCTGTCCTTTCCCATCTGTATTACAGCTCTAATTCCTGCTGCTCAGTTTTTATGCATGTAAAATGTGTATTTTGGTTGTATTTACTTCTTTAATGTTCCCTTTTTCCCCCAAGCTGGAGATTTAATGATGATTGATTTTCCAGATTTATGTCTAAGCTTTCTAAAGCTTAGATGGTTAAGATTCTACATCCAACTTGTATTTTGCTGACGTTCATATGATGTTGCCTTTTGGAAGTTTGCATCGAAATAATTTGAGTAACCCGAGATGGCGGAAAGATGACGTTTCTTACATACTGAAAATCTAATCCCTCCATAAATTCATGGATTTTTGTATTTCTCCTACTGGATTGAATTATTTATTCTTAGCATATAACCAAAGATTTTAAAAAGCTTATAAAATCTGTGTCTCTTTTTTCCACAAGCTAGTAAGATGGATACAAATTTTAGCTTGTGTTTGCATCCTGACATGGAGATCAGTTGGACGCCAGTTGGTTTGTATCTTTAACACCAACTTAAATTCCTTTTTTCCTTTCTAGTTGTTAAAAGCTGGATTTTTGTGCCCTCTATTTGAAACTATGAGCTGCTCTTCCATTTGTCCTTTTTTTAATATCTCTTTCATTAGTCAAAATTCCATATTCCTTTTTATAATTGTGGAAGAATAAAGGCCTCCTTTTAATAAATCTAAGTTATTATAAGAAGAAAATCCCTTAATTCCCTCATTGCTAATTTATCTACTTTTAGCACGTGAAATTATTTTCTAATCTTTCTTGATAACTATTGCAATTGAAAATTCTTGAATACTTGCATCTATTTTTGGTCATTCGAGCCTACAAATTGTTTTGAGTATGTGCTTTATGCATATACACACAGACACTCTTCGGGTGCAGTGGTTGAGGCATGAATTTCGCTTAAGGGTGTTAAAGGTTTAATATATAGAAAGTAATTTTTGACCTATATGCACGGTATAATTTTTATATATGCAGTATAATTTTCTGATGAAGAGTGTTCAACTAACTACCCTTCACTCTATGTGGCTACGCCACTGCATAGATGCACAATTGTTTGATGTGTATGTACATGTTCTTTGTGTGATGTGCTACATTGGTTCTTATTCCAAAATCAAGTGCTTTATTTCTGTCAATCTTGAGTGGTCTAAATTTATTATTAAGATTAGAATGCTCATCGTATAAACTAAGTACTGGTATCTAAGCAACTTAGTGAAGAACGAACACAATCGCATCAGTTTTTGAGTTCGATGCTCATGTTCGTGATGTTCATTACTTATTTATTTATATAAGTGGAGATATTTAGGCATGTATGTGTATACATTGCAGTGAAGATATATACTGCATATAAATGCATGTGAAGTTTACCGTTGTTATACTTATTATTGTTGTTTTTACCTTTTTAGTAATTATCTTTTGCTGAATATATATGCAGTCATTTTTTTGGGTCTCTTTTACAAGTCTAGCTGCAAATCTTTCAGGGTGCAAAAGGTGCAACACGAGATGAGTTGCTTTTACAACTTGATGTACCTGTTATGTTTGTGCAGGTAAAGCACTTGCTTATAGATGCATCCATGTCACATGAACATAAAGGTCGGTCTTATAGAGGCTTATTTGTTAGACGGGCATTCTTGTTTAGTAATACGCACAAGAATGGGCGCACACATTAGCGAAACCTAATTGTTTACGGATGGGCTATACACACACTTGTTATAGCCCTAAGTGTACATTTGCACTAACATACATGCATACACAAATACGTTTCATTATGACTTAATTTGACGGCTTTGGTGCAGTCATTGCTAATTTGCTAGGTTCTTTAGCTAATTTTTTTAATATTATTCACATCTCAAATAATCATGTTTGTTGTCAGCCATTGCTATAATACCATAATATTAGTTTCTCGGGAGAGGGTGGTGGTGCTAACTATAAACTTATCCATGCTCAAGACTTTGTATAAATGTTGTGGTTTATTTTCTTGTAGGGTAGCAAAGATGGGCTTTGTCCACTGGAGAAGCTGGAAGCTGTAAGAAAGAAAATGAAGTGTGCTAATGAATTATATGTGATTGATGGTGGTGATCACTCCTTCAAAATTGGGAAAAAGCACTTACAGTTGGCTGAGTCCACCCAAGAGGAAGCTGAAAAGCTTGCTGTTCATGCTATTGCAACTTTTGTTTCTAATCACGTGAAAGAGGGGTGCTTTTCAACTACTTAACTGTAAGCAACGGGTGATAGTTTTACTTTTTTTGTCCAGTTTTTGCAAAGATGGTTCATGACTGCTTCCTTGTAGGGTATAGGATTTTTTCCCTCTTTTCTTTAGGGAGTGGGGGTGGGGGGCATCTTTTTTGGTATGGCATTGTTGTAGCATATCTGCAAATGTTGCTCACTGTGAAGTACTACTAGTAATTAGTATCTAAAGCTTTAGCCTCTAGTTCTTTTCCCCACCTCAGGAGTATCCTCTTTGTATATTTTTCTATGATACCATTACTTTCCTGCAATGGACCAAGCGTCTGTATGGGAAAATATGATATGTACTCACTTTAAGAAGTAGCAAGGTTCCTATAAGTAGTTTCTGGAAAACTTTTATATGTTTGTTTTGCTTATAGCCAAGATATATGGACTTCTAATCGAGGATTTTCATTTTCTATAAGCTTTTGAAAGAAAATAGGTGGTCATTGGCCATTATATGTCAACCCTGTTCAGAAAGTACTTTCTCACCATCCAATTTCTTTTTGTTTGGTTTAGTAATGCTAATGAAGTTGTAGTGCGATTATATGGTCATATTGATTGGTTTAAGGAACAGATCATTCTTCTGATCACTTAAATTCAACATTGAACATTTTCATTGCATAATCAAAGTGATAAGCATTTATTGACAGGCACATCATTCATCCATTCAGGTATAAGAAATGTTGATGAAATGTTAAGGTACTTTAGCATCTGTCTTATTAAAGGATTCAAGTTGCTTTCATCTTTGCACTCCTTGTATGTGATCTTTCACGGGCTCTTCTCTTAGTTCTGCACACAAAACAAGAAATTTAGGTTGTAGAGAAAATTTTTGATATTCTCCGGTTATGGGCTCGGAAGTGAGAAAACATTTATAAATTTCAAGACTTGTTACTTTATAATAGAACTTCGTAGTTGTGACCGTTTCTGCAAGTGTCCTACTAGGCTTATATGGATAAATGGTTACTAACACAATTGCCTTCTAATGATGCATAGGAGGGTTTGGATCATACCTTCTTCCGTCCACATTTTTCATTATCACTGTCATCACTGCTGCTGCTGCTGTCGCTGAACTTGTATTTTTCTTCTTTGTTCTTCCTCATTTGCATCGTAGGCATGCAATGCCCTTCCATCTTTTTCCTTCCATTAGTTGTAGTATGAGTCGAACCATGGTATGAAGAATGCTGGGAATGGTTAGCATGAGTGCCATGAGTTGCACAGGATTCATGGCAGACAGACTGATGTAGTTGCTGGGTGTGTGCCTTCTGACCATTTTGAGTTTGATGTTCATGGTGAAACATTTTGTGTGCCATTTCTTTCATTTTGTCAGTGAAAGAGTGGCGCTCATTATTTGCCTTTTGGCTTGTTGGGGTGCTAGTCTTGTTGCCCACAGCTTTTTGGCTAGTCGGAGTGCTGGTCTTGTTGCCAACAGCCTTTTGGCTAGTTGGTGTGCAGGTCTTGTTGCACACGGTGGNACACTTTTTGACTAGTTGGAGTGCTGGTCTTGTTGCAAACAGCCTTTTGGCTAGTTGGTGTGCTGGTCTTGTTACACACAGTGGAGGATTGAACATGATTGTTTTGCTGAGTGGGCTTGCTACATTGAACTGATGCCATAAGTGATTGAATTGAAACTAGAGATATTTTCTTCTGGACTATTGTCTTCTTGTTGCCTGATATTCACAGAATGATTGAAATATATACATGTATGCAATAGCAACAAGAATTAGTGGTGGGATTCTTTTCTTATCAGTTGTCCTATCATCTTTGAATCTCCTTTTCTACCAAAGGCTAAACTTTGAAGAGCATCTCATTCTATTCCAGGCCATGTTTTATTTTCTTATGGCTATATTCCAAATCCTTCAACTAAGCTTTTGACCGCATCCACCACATATATTGCAGTTCACAAAGAAGTGGTAATGTAGCCCATGAACTGATCTTTTGGCTCGTACAAAAATGCAAAGGAAAGAATAAGCCAGGTTCCCATCCTTTTGAGATTCCCATACCTTTTCTTCCTCCTGTTTCAGTTAAAAAAGACATGTAAAATTGTTCTGGTTCAGAGACTTGCATAATAAAATAGACCCAAAAAAGAAAAGGAAATGCTGATATTCGTTTGCTATTTAAATCTTGAAAATTCATTGCCCTAATAATTTAACGATTTTCTCTAGAAGGACTGAAGTGTAAATTTCTGAGAGAAGCAGTAATGAAACTTATTCTCATCTTGACTGACATGAAGGCAAATCAACAGACTATTTTAATGGAAAGTATGACAAATTATTAGTCATAATTTTCTTTGCAAATAATTCATATATCTGGTGTTCTCAATTAAATCCCACTAGCTGAGTTTTATGGAAGTAATCTACATCTTTTAGGTTTGAACTGTCTAACTATGTAGAAATATAATGCCATTGTTATGCCCCTAGGCCCCACTAAAGGATTTTTGTGTTATTGACTAGATTCCTTGTTTCCTCCGTATCTGCTCTCTCCATCTCTTTAGGTGTGGGTATTATGAATGACAAAAGCTTAGACACACTCGGTGTTTACACCAAACCTATAAGTTTAACATGTTAAGTGGTTTAAACTATATGTAGAAGACATATGTTAGGCATTCATTGATTTGATGTAAACACTGGTGTGGGTACGTCTTTATGAACATAGACATTCCTTATTTTGTTGTTAAGAGATTCAGCGTCCAATAGGCCAGCAAAGTTTGATTAGTTTCAATATACTCTTTCTAACCCCTGTTTACCAGCTGGACCGGATGGTGCTGCCTGTCCTCATTGTGCATCTCGTTGCGTTTTAGTTTTGAACTTTTGACATATGGATTCCTGCTTTTTTTTCCTAGTAGAAATGCAGCAAGATCAAAGCCTTCAAATGGCTAATGGAATATACTATTTTTCTAATACATTCATGAGTAGCCTGAACTATTTAAGCCTTTCTTTGTTTCCATTTACATTTAACTACTTTCTTATATTGGTTTCTGGAGTTTTTATGAGGAGTTCCCTGGTTGTTTTGAGGGTTCCTTTTAGTTCTTATCTCATCTGAATGGTTAGAAACAAGATGAAATTGCTTAGTTACTACCAACTCCTTCAAAATTTATTTCATCAGCTTTAAAATGGTTATGTGCTCTGTCTATTTTGCCTATAAAAAGAATTATGATGAGCTCTGCTGCGTATAACTTAAAGACAGACTGTATCCAGTCCACAGTTGATACTGGAAAAATGCCTGCAAATGCTGGTGAAAATGGTCATTCCGTTATGATTTACTCTTTCTTTCCTCCATTTTTTCTCTCTTATTATCTACTCTTACTCGTTCCATGGTTATTTCTACATGGCTTTCTGTTGTCTTTGTTCATTGTTCGTCCATTTCATTTTTCATCATGAGGCAATATCGATTACTTATCCCAAAATAAAGAGACAATACTGATCTCAGAAACTTATTTCATTACTGGATAGACCATAGGTGATAGGTACATTGAAGTATTAGCATTTATTCATAGTGCACATCCTCACTTAGCTTTCTCTCACAGACACAGACATCGCTTTCAGACAAAGTACATTGAGCAACAGTTCATTAGTAGGATAGCTTCTGTCTCTTATTGAGTATTGGAGCTTACTTCTTCAGCAGCTCTCTCTCTGCAAAAATGAGAAGACTTTAGGCTTCAGTGTAACTAGTAAAACAGCTATCTTTATGAAAGTGAGCATTGTGGAGGGTTAAACTAACAGATTCCGAAATCTGTTCTCTTCCCTAGTTTGTGGATGTCCCAAGTTTTAGATCAATTTTGTGAAACATTTATAATACCTACTCTTTTTCCTCATCAGTGAACATCAAAATATACAGAAGCAAAAAGTAGACAATAGGCTATACCTTGTTCCTTCCACAGTTCTCGTTGTCGCTCTCATCACTGCTGCTATTGCTGCTGCTATCTTTGCCATCTCTGCAGCGTCCATCTTTGTTCTTCTTTCTCCTCATGGTCTTCAGCTGATCACCTATCTTATGCATGAAACCCCCTTCCTTCTTCGAGCCATGGCATGCAGTCTGCTGGCTGTGGTTACCATGACTTCCATGCATAGCAGTGGAGCCATGGCATCCTGATTGTTGAGGTTTGGCGCCATGGCATGCAGTCTGCTGGCAGTGGTTAGTATGATTTCCGTGCATAGCAGTGGAGGCATGGCCTGCTGAATGCTGAGTTTTGGAGCCGTGGCATGCAGTTTGCTGGCTATGGTTAGCATAACCACCATGCATAGCCGTGGAGCCATGGCCTACTGATTGTTGAGTTTTGGAGCCATGGCAGGTGGATTGCTGACCGTGATTCTCGTGGTGGAACATTTTGCCTGTCATCTCTTTCATTTTGTCAGCAAAAGAGTGGTGCTCATTTGCTTTGTGGCAAGTCACAGTGGTGGTTTTTTGGCAGACAGTTTGTTGCGCAACTGGCTTTTGTCATTGCAGTGATGCCATTGAATGTGGCTGAAACTGAACAGAGAATGACTCTTGTATTCGTGTTCTAGTTTCTTATGGCTCGCTCACTTGACATAGCGAGTCATTTGACATCTATTTATAGTAGTTTTGATAGTGCAGATTCTTCTCTTTGCACCTCACATCACTAGCTCTATCATTTTTTAATCTCCTTTCGTCAGGTAAAAGTTTGAGGAGAATTTATTCTATTCCTTGAGATAATTGTGTTATCTATTCATTATTCTAATTTCTGAACTTGGACAAGTTCCACATATATGGAACAAGAATAGCTGGAGAAAACTCTAGACAAGTGATCATGTGGCTTGGGATATGACAGTTTAAACTTGTTGATTCTTTCCCTTTTGAGTGGTAAAACTGGGTTATGACAGTTTATTCTTTGTGATAATTTTGTTATCTGTTGGACCTGTTCAATTATTTTGTTGCTACAGTGTGAAACTTAAAAATAAGTAGAATAATTTGATGGAATTTTTACCTCCTATAGCAAAGGTTGATACCTTATTTATTTTAAATAAATATCCTTTTAAAAAATTATATTCTATAGATACCTTTTGATTTTTATAGTCAAATATCTATTTATATTTATCTCCTACTCTTAAGCCATAAAATACCCTTTGTATTATTTTTCTCTCTCATTCTTTTAAATTTTTCTCCACCCCCCTCTCTCTCAACGCCATATTTCTCCATGGTTATCTCTCAACGCCATATTTTTGCTCCACACAACAGTGATCTCTTGCTGAATCAATTTCTTAGTTCTCAAATTGTGCAACCCATCAATTTCTTGATCAACCCTGTTAATAGCAACCCATCATTCTGAATCAATTTCTTAGTTCTCAAATTGTGCAATAAGAATTTGGGTCGTGTTTTATTTGTAACACCGGCAACCAAACAATGTTTTCCTTGATTTCGTGGTTAATAGCAACCCATCCTCGCACTCTCCACAATCTCCATTGGGTCGTGTTTTCACTACCGGCTTCTGGTGAACGGTGGATTCGTCAGAAATTAGGGTTTGTTCTTCAACAAAAACGACGGAGTTTGGGGCTGAACAACTTGATTTTCTGTTAAAATATTTCAATGTATTTTCATGTATTTCATTGTATTCATTGTCTTTTTTTCCCATTGTAATTCAATGTATCTCGTTGTATTTCATGTATTTTATTGTATTCACTATCTTTTTTTTCCACTGTATTTCAATGTATCCCACTGTATTATATGTATTTCATTGTATTCACTGTCTCGCTATATGCCATAAATGTATTCATATATTTTTTTAATTAATATAATTTATGTATTCATATGTATTATATAATTTCTCTGAAGATTGCTATGTTTTTGGGGTATTTTTCGGATGAGAATTTTTTTTATAACTGAAAATATAAAATTTGTGTGTTATAATTGAGTTTGTTGAGTTATATTAGGAGTCTATTATGTTAATTGATTCACTTTCCGTTTTAAAAATAGTGTAATCCCCTATTTCGCGCCGTGAATACAGTCGAATACAATTGAATACAATAATCTGTCCAGCTGTAATCCCATGTTTCACTCCATGAATACAGTCGAATACACTCGAATACAACACCTGATTAGCTGGACTTCCCTGATTCACGCATTTTTTGCTACTGTATTCATGAATACAATAGCATAAATACATCAAATACATCTTATAACCACACAAAAAGTATCTATAATTCGTAATATAGCAAATGGTATCTATAGATGGCTAATTACTACCAAAAGATTAGTTACCTCCTATAGTAAAGGTTGATACCTTATTTATTTTAAATAAATACCCTTTTAAAAAATTATATATCATAGCTACCTTTTGATTTTTTATAGTCAAATATCTATTTATAGTCACCTCCTACCCTTAAGCCATAAAATAAGCTTTGTATTATTTTTCTNAAGTTTTCCGGCGAAGACTTTTGGGTTGTCGAGCAATCATCCGATATAAAACTTTCTCCGGCGTAATAACGGCAACCGGAGGCAACGGTGATGGCGAGCGAAGACTAGATACTAATGCTGCTTCAACCTCACCGCCGCCGCAACACACTACTTGTGCCCATGGTGCTTGTAAACTCCGTCGAGACTGTGAACTGCTGACAGTGGCTCCGACGGCTTCAATTGTAAAGAATAGGTTTTTTGAAGTGCACGTGAGGGTATTATGGTAACATGAACAGTGGCATTTCAAGTCAGAATCGCAGCCCTCTCGACGAGATGACATTAGGGGACGAGATGACATTAGAGTTGTTCTTGAAAAAAGACGACAAAGTTTGGGGTTGAGCAACTTGAATTTTCTGTTAATATATATCTCGCTATATTTCCATGTATTTCATTGTATTCATTGTCTTTTTTCCATTGCATTTCAATGTATCTCGTTATATTCCATGTATTTCATTGTATTCACTGTCTCGTTGTACTCCATGAATGTATTCATATATTTTTTTAATTAATATAGTTTATGTATTCAGATGTATATATGTATTCAAATTGCTCTGTTTTTGTTGTATTTATCGGTTGAGAAAAATATTCAACATATTTTCTCTGAAGATTGCTATATTATTTGGGTGTTTTTCGGTTGAGAATCTTTTTTATAACTGAAAATATAAATTTTGTATGTTATAATTGAGTTTGTTGAGTTATATTAGGAGTCTATTATGTTAATTGATTCATTTTCCATTTAAAAACAGCTGCATAGACCATGAATTGCGCTATTTACATTACTGTATTCACAAATACATATCGTGAATATAGTCGAATACAATAATCTGTCTAGCTGTAATCCCCTGTTTCACGCCGTGAATACAATCGAATACAAAAATCTGTCTAGCTGTAATCCTCTGTTTCACGCCGAGAAGTGCTACTGTATTCATGAATACAGTAGCTTAAATACACCAAATATACTCTAAAAAACCTGAAAATATAGCTATAAGAAGTAATATAGTAAATGGTAGCTACATGTCACGACCCGGATTTTTCCACCCTCGGGAGTCGTGATGGCGCCTACTAGTGAAAGCTAGGTAAGCCAACCATTTGAATTATTTACCCTTTTCCCATTTTTAATCCTTTAACAGTTAGGAGCCAACATTATATAAACAGCGAAAATTTAAAGGCGGAAGACTGAAACGTAATATATTAATAAAGATGTCAATACCGATCCATACATAAACTACCCAAGACTGGTGTCACAATTCCACAGACTGTCTAGGAATACTACAAATAAAGGTCCGAAAGAGTTATTACAACACTGTCTCCGAAATACATAAAAGAAACAGGATAAAAGGATAAAAGGAGACGCCAAGGCCTGCAGACGCCTATAGGACTACCTCGGATCTCCGAATGGACTGAAGGCAGCAACCCCAAACCTAAGGTCCGAAAGCTGCTACATCGGGATCTGCACACAGTGCAGAGTGTAGTATTAGCACAACCGACCCCATGTGCTAGTAAGTGCCTAGCCTAACCTCGGCGAAGTAGTGACGAGGCTAGGACCAGACTACCAAATAAACCTGTGCAGTTAAATCATATACAGCGGAAAATAAAAGCAGTAATGTACAGTTAAGAATGAGAGTGGGGAAATATCAAATGATAATAGAAAGACAGCAGGTAAATAAAAGGAACACCATAACTCAATTATCAACAAGAATCAGAAATCAAACAAGTGCACGGTATCACCCTTCGTGCTTTTACTCCCGTCCTTACCATAAGAATCAATATAATCTACACAGCATCACCCTTCGTGCTTTTGCTTTCGTTCTCACCATAAAATCAATATAATCGGCACAGAGTTGTACATCGTGCGGCACGACATCACCCTTCGTGCTTTTACACTCTTCCTCACAAAATCATACACGGCATCACCCTTCGTGCTTTAACACTCTCTCACCAAAACAATACACGGCATCACCCTTCGTGCTTTAACACTCTTCCTCACCCAAACAACAATCACAAGCAATAAGGGCAAGGAAATAAATAAAATCTTGGCAAGGGAACAATATCAAAAGCATCAACATCCCGGCAAGGGAGATAGCATTAAAAGCAACAACATCCCGGCAAGGGAGACAATATAATAATCCTCTTCTCTTTTTCACATTTACTTCACAACTCACTTTACAACTTGAGCCAATGCTCTATAAGGTTCAATTACCAATAATACTTCCACAATTCATTTTACAACTTGAGCCAACACTCTTCAATATTCAGATACCAATATTACTTCCACAAGCTTTGCTCAACAATAGAAATCATCACATAAGGCATGAACAATACAAACAGAGTCACATTAATTATAGTATAAGACTCACGGGCATGCTTGACACCAACGTACAGATACTCTTCTCCATGCCTATACGCCGTACTCAACAAATAACACATAGAAAATAGGACACAACTCTTAATCCATCAAGCTAAGGTTAGACCAAACACTTACCTCGATGCCACGAACACAATTCAAGTCTCAACTATCGCTTTACCTCTTGATTCCACCACCAATTCGCTCGTATCTAGCCACAAGTTATTTAACTATATCAATAATGCTAAATGAATCAATTCCAATGCATGAAAATAGGTTTTTTAAAGTTTTTTCCAAAAAGTCAAAAAATTGTCCCGGGGCCCACATGGTCAAAACCCGAGGTTTGAACTTAAACCCGATTACCCGTTCCCCTACGAACCCAAATATATAATTTATTTTGAAATCGGATCTCAAATAGAGGTCCAAATCCCTAAAATTTGAAAAACTTAGGTTCTACCCAAAACACTTCCTTTCCCACCATGAAAAGATGTTAAAGATTGAAGAAAACGAGTTAGAAATGACTTACAATCGATTTGGAGAAGAACTTTTCTTTGGAAAATCGCCCTAGAGGGTTTATGTTTTGAAAGAGTTTGAAAAATAAAAGATTTTCGGCTAAGTCAATTTGCAGGTCGCAGATGTCCCAATTGTGAACCCTTCAAAACCTACTAATCTTGCATTTGCGATCACTGTTCGCAATTGCGAACTCGCATTTGCGACAATGGGGATTTCTGGGCTTTTTCGCATTTGCGATCAGAACTGCCCAGGCCTTCTCTCACATTTGC